GTGTCCGGCAGCTTCCGACGAGCTGTGGTCCGCGCAGTTCCCGAGGCTCCAGGTACGTCTTCTTCTGCTGCGTCAGCCTCGGCAGCACGGTCGGCGAAGGAACGAAGGCCCGCGAAGCCGTCGGTGGGGTCGTGTGTGTTGGCAATGTTGTCCAGGTAATGCTGCAGCGTCAGTCGCTCGTAGAAGATAACATCACGTGATGCCACTGTATTTTTGTCTTGTATGTCGAGGATTTTCCATGCGTGAAAATGTTTTGCGATGCCGAGGTGTAGTCCCCACGAGCTCGTTGAGTGAAGCGTCCTGCTCGGGCTGTGTGGGGTCTGTACTGTACCATGCAGCCGAAAACCGAAGTAATTTTGTGCTGCCCCTTTTTTGTGTCCACAGCAGGTGCGGTGATGCGTTGTTGGGAAGCGATGACGAGGACAGCAGGTTGTGCAGGTGGACTGCATGTGTCATCGCGTCTGGCCACAGTGTGGTGGGCAGTCTCATCCCCAGGAGCAGCTTTCGCATCGTCGTCTGCAAGGTCCGGTTCATGCGTTCTGCGACCCCCTGCTGCTGGTGAGCGTAGGGCAGAGACACCAGGCGTCTGATTCCTCTTTCCGCCAGATAGGTCCTGAAGCGTTGTGACTGGTATTCCAGTGCACCGTCTGACTGGAAGCTCTTGAGCTTGGTTCCTGATTCTCGTTCGGCGATGGGAGCCATGTCGTGAAGGCGTCGAAGGCTTGATCGCGTGTCTTGAGGTTGTAGTGCCAGACGTATCTTGTTGCTGCATCGATAAAGTGATGACATAGTTGAAGTCGGCTTCAGTGTCTTCTCGAGGCATGTTTAAAATGTCGCTGTAGACTTTTTCCATCGGTGCGTATGCAGGTGCGCTTGGGTTGTGATGAGATGGGAAAGGTTGGTGAGGAAGATCGGCTTCGGGGCACGTAAAGCACCGTGCGCGTGGTCGTCGAAGTTCTTGGCCGCTCGTTGTTAGGAGAGCGTTGCGTTCTAACACTTCGGCTTGGATGGTTTGCAGTATTGTACTGTTTGCAGGGTGCCCGAGTCGTTGGTGCCAGATGTCGTCGGAGCACGATGGCCGGGCGAGCGGTGGTATATGTCGGTGTTGGAGAAGAACGCGACGACTGTGGCGGGACTTCGACAGACTTCTCGTGTGATGGGCATAAGTTGATCTGCTTCGGTTGGCGGTCCTCGGATCGCTGGTGGTGGTACTCCTGTCTGCTGCGGCTACTGCAGGTGATGGTTGGGAAGGGACACTTGCTGGTACTTGTCTTTCTTGTCTGATGACTGCTAATGCTCGTGTTCTCTCTGCTGCAGGTATGGTGTTGGAGTGCCAGAATCCATCCGGGTCGAAGTCGGGGTCAAGATCCGGCGGGTGTGTCCAGGCGGCGAACGACACGATTCCGTCGCTGTCGGCAGTACCGCGGTCGGGGACGAAGTCCAACACGAAGACCCGGACTTCAGGAGAGCACGACCGATGAAGAGACCGCCCTTCCCGTGGTAAAGGCGAAACTCGTTGGAGTAGGAGTCGCACTCCAGGTGAATCCCTTTTGCCATTAGCTGGCTTACGCTTAGTAGGTTGTATCCCAAGTTATCGACGATGAGGACCTTGTTGAGTTGAAGTATAACGTTTGTCTCCATGGATTGTAATGAACCACTCCTTGTCTGTTTGTTTTTCAGGTTTTCGTTGTTGGCGACGGTGATGATGACGTCGCGGTTGAGGCGTCGCTCTCGTTGCACGAAGCGTCCGGAAGAACACATGTGTTGACCGCAGCAGCTGTCCAAGAACCAGGTGTTTCGCCCGGTGGGTTCGCGTTGCGACCGGCAGCGTATGTCGGGTTGACTGAAGTCCTTGTGAGCGCGGCGGCGGAAGTTCTTCTTCGTCTGGTGCGTAGTGGTGGTGATCCGGGTGCGCAGTTGTCGATGTGTACCATGCAGTTAATGATGTTTGGTGTCCCTTGTGCAGATGTGGAAGAGCGCCTTGGAGGGCTTTCTTGAGTGGAGGCGACGTGTGGGTCCTACTGGACGATAAACACGAGACGTGTGCAGTTGACTTTGGAATGTCCGGAAGTCTGACAGTTGTGGCAGAACGGCGGCACGAAGGTGAGTCCTCTGTTGTCGCGTTGATCTTGCTTGCCGCGTCGATTGTAGTTGTTGTCGTTCCTTCGTTGAGTGTAGAAAACTAACTGCTGCTGCTTCCTTGGTTGTCGTTTCTTCGAACAGATCCATCTCCTGTTGTTCAGCGTGAAGCTCGGCGCAGAGGTGCATCTCCGAGATTCCTTCCGTGGGCGCGAAGAAGCGAGCGTGTGGTCTCCATTCTGGTCCGAGCCCGGCGAGGACAAGCGTTACGAAGCTTTCCTCAGTGATTGTTCCTCCGCACCGAAGCAGGCGGTCTCGGAGGGTCTGGCAGCGACTCATATACTGCATCGACCTTTTCCCCTGTCTTCATCTGTATTGTTGTCAGTTGTTGCATGAGTCTGCTTTGTGTCACGCTGTCGTTTGCTTGATAGAGACACTTGAGATGATGCCATGCGAGTTCCGCGGAGTTTCCATAGCTCCGATATGTTCTGATGCTCTGCTGTTCTTGTGGTGACAGGTTCCGCAGGAGAACTGTGTACGCCAGCAGCGACTGATAAGTAAATATTTCTTGCTCCTTTGCAGTGCCGTTGCTTGGGAATGGCAGGGACCCATTGAAGTATCCCAGGAGATGCGCAGCCTCCATCACAGCTCGAACTCAAAACTCCAGGTAAAGAAATCGTGTCCGTTGAATGGTGATGATGTCTGCAGTTTAATCACGTGTGAAAACTGCGCCTGAAGACTTAAAATCTCGTTTGGTGTTTGTTGTGATGCAGCTGCTGTTGGTTGGGCACGGGGCGGCATGAACTCGAACGTCCCCGGTGAAGAGTGATAAGGCGCAAAGGTAGGCGCTTGATTGTGTCGCCCGAACGATGAATTGTCGAGGCTCATCGGCGCTAATCCCATGTTTCCTCCGTTGCTCTGTGTTGAATGCGCAGGTGTCCTTGTCTGCTGCTGCTGGTCGAAGTGCGACATGAAGCTGAAGAACCTTTCCATAAGGTTCGGATCCACGCTTGAAGAGGGTGATGGGGTCACCATTTCCGGTGCTCTTCCTGTTGTTTCTTGAGCAGCGCCGGTCTCGGTTTGCAGCCTGAAGTATGCAATCCAGAGTTGCCGGGTTGAATGTCTTGGTTGCTGGGTGAGCCCGTAGAGGTCTTCTTGCCCTTGCTGTCCATGGCTTCGAATTAATGAAGTCGTTGAATTGCAGATTGTAGATAGAGTGTCGTTGCTGGGAGTTTGGTCTCTGACCAGCTCTCATACCATGTTGGGCTGAGAAAAGCCCTTAGGATCTTTCCAGAGACTAAGTCCCAGGTTGTAGAATGCGACTTGAGTAGTGCAGCGGAAGTTGAGGCAGTTGAACCCTTGTACTAGTATATGAGAACAAGTGATTGATTAAAGAAACAAACATACAGCAATATATAGAAAATAAGAAAGCAGTTGTAGAATACAGTTGCAGGAGCGGTTATCGAGTCGCACAGCGACTCGATTGTCGCTTCGGTTACCATCCGCGATGTTGTAACGGTCAGTCGCAACCTCCAGTTGTGACTCTTCAAGTCCCTTCGCGTTCTTTGTCCACCCCCTTGTGTAACCTCCGTTGACTCGCGTACCCGTTGCGATCTTCCTCGAGTGTAGTGTTCAGAAACGCTTAAGTCCTGTGAGATATTTCCAACACATGGCAAGGAGATAAACCAACTGAAAGCAATAGGTTACGAATGCACTCATACTAAACAGACTCCATCATTACAACAGCACGACAGCTCAGCTCGTACCAAATCACAGCAGCAGCTGCGGCAGAATCGGTCTGAGTGTATTAAACGGCACCGCAGGGGCCGTTTCCTCTGCCTCCATAGCTCGTCTGAAACACTCTGCAGCAGCACCCACATCCCCACTCCCCGCTCCACCAGCCCCAGCACATGCCAGGCACGCGCGTCAAACCCATCCCCAGATACCACCTCCCTCAGGTGCACCTCTGCCATATGCAGCCACTCCCCCCCCATCTGCAGCAGCAGCGCTCCCAGCCGTGCCTTGCTGGCAGCGTGCCATTGGTCGATGGCCAGGGCGCTGCGGTAGCAAGCCAGGGCCTCCTGGGGCCTGCCTTTAGCCCCGTCTAGCATGCCTGGGGGGAGAAGCAGCAGGGGCGAACAAGAGGTGGAGGGCAGGAGAGAGGTGGCCCATGGTCAGAGCACTGCGGTAGCAAGCCAGGGCCTCCTGGGGCCGGCCTTTAGCCTCTTCTAGCATGCCTGGGGGGAGAAGCAAGAGGGGCGAACGAGAGGTGGAGAGCAGGGGAGGGGTGGCCCATGGTCAGAACGCTGCAGTAGCGTGCAAGGGCCTCCTGGGGCTGACCTTTAGCCTCTTCAAGCATGCCTGGGGGGGAAGAGACATGGGGGGTGTCACAGAGGGAGAGGGAAAGATGATTGTAAAGCTGGCTAATGGTAGGGCTCTGCAGTAGCATGCAAGGGCCTTCTGGGGGCGGCCTCTTGTCTCTTCTAGCATGCCTGGGGGGAAGAGACACAGGGGATGTGACAGAGGGAGAGGGGAAGAGGAGCTTAAGGCTGGCTGATGGCAGGGCTCTGCAGTAGCATGCAATGGCCTTCTGGGGGCGGCCTCTCGCCTCTTCTAACATGCCTGGGGGGAGGGAGAGGGGGGGATGTGAAACAAGAACGGGTTGGAGGAGGCGGGGGAGGCGGGGGAGGCGGGGGAGGCGGGGGAGGCGGGGGAGGCCGGGGAGGCGGGGGAGGTGGGGGAGGCGGGGGAGGCGGGGGAGGCGGGGGAGACGGGGAGGCGGGGGAGGTGGGGGAGGCGGGGGAGGCGGGGGAGACGGGGGAGGCAGGGGAGGCGGGGGAGGCAGGGGTTTCGGAGGACATCTCAAGCGGTAGGGAACTCCTGGGGCCAGCCTTTGGCCTTCTTGAAATTGTTGGGATATTAAGGAATATTCAATGCAAGCTTATAAGGGGACTTCGAGACCTACTTTCCACTTTGAAGAGCAATGGGAGCTCTGTGGATTTGGGGCCATGAAAGCACGGGGAGAGAACACAGAGGGGGTTGGAACGTCATTGCTGTGGAGTAAGTCGTGATCATGAAATGCACACGCATATGTTGATGACAAATAATTGGCCCAAGAACCCTTTAGACACATCTCCTACATTTGACAAAGCATGCTGTCGCTGCCACCATGATTCACTTCCGGATTACATGGACCTCCTGCCACCATGCCCTCACCTGCCACCATAGCAGCACCTGCCGCCATGATTCACTTCAGGATTACCCAAATCCTCTGCCACTACGCCCTCACCTGCCACCATCCACGTGTCAGCAGCATATGGATCCAGCGTCTGACACTTTGCCACACAGAGGTCGGCATCTACCGCCCGCCCACCAACCAGATACGCCTCGGCAAGAGACTGCCACACGGCTGCTTCTGTCACCGAGCCGCCCTGCATGGGGGGGAAGGATTTGGAAAATAATGTGTTTTTGTTTACTCGTATGCAGCTAAGAAATAGAGCCTCCCAACAGCTGGACATGCCTCGGCTAGCCGCACGGCTGCACTGCACTGAGCTGCCATACAGCAATTGGCATCTCACATGTTTCCATTCCAAGAGACTGCGGGAAATCTAGATAGATGATATTTTCTCCCTCAACCGCTTCCCCCTTTTCCTTACCACTTCGCCTCGCTTCTGCCGTGACTGTACCGCAGCCATGGCCTGTTTCAAGCTCTCCACAGCGTCACCAACGCCTACAGTCACACCACCACTGCCATCCACCCCTGCTCCCCCCTCCCCTTCCCCTCCCTCTTCCCCTGCCCCCCCACTCGCTAGCTGCACCTTGGCGCGCAGCACCAGCAGCGCCGCCCTTGCGCCCTCCCCTCTCTCCCCCCATCCGCCCCCCTCCCCCGGCTCCTCCCCCCGCTTTCTTGATGGCGGCTTCCCCCACGCGGCACATATCTTCCGCGTCCTTGAACCGCTGCTGACACGTCAGCAGCAGCGCCAGGATCTGCCACGTCAGCAGCCACTGCCCGCCGCCGGCTTTCAGCGCGCTCTTGGCGACCTTGAGCGCCTCGCTGACGTGGCGCTGCTCGGCCAATGCGAGCGCGAGATCCACCATCACGGCTGCTGAGGAGGCATCTTCTTCTAAAGCCTGGCTTAGCGACTCGACGGCGCGTTTAAGAGTCAGTTCCCGGCGAGCCGCGGAAACATAATGGTTGCGCGATAGTAGGAGGAGATTAACTCCCAGCGCATGAAGCGCCTTAGCGCGCTGCGGGCCGCTGCTCGCAGCGAGCTCCACCGCGCGTTCGCCGTAGCGGACGCCCTCTTCGCTCCACGTGTCACGCCGGGCGCAAATCACGGACGCGAGAATAAGAGACGGAACGTGGTCGGGCCGCTCGGACGGCTGAATCGCGTTCCGGACGACGTCAAAAGCCAGCGCCTCGTCGCTACTATTGTCGTTAAGATCCCCGCCTCCCCCCGCGTCATTTGCGCCACCCGCGGGGGAGCTTGCGGGGTCCGCGGGATTCAAGGGGTAACCCGCAGACGCGGAGACCGCTGCGCGGAAGTGCGCGCGAGCGAGGCGGAAGAAAAGGTCGCTCCGCGGAAGGGCGTCGGGGGGAAGCGCGAGGAGATCCGCGACTGACTCCGCGCCCCCGTTGATCTCCGCGCCGAGCCCAAGCCCGTCCGCGGGGGCGGAAACGGCGGAAGCGGCTGGCGGGGCTGGGGGACCGCCCATGGCGACAGTCGGAATGCGGACGCGCGCGAAGCGGACAAGCGCTATTCCGCGAGGCTTGTCCGCGAGGAAGCGGGCGAGCGGATGCTAGTCCGCGAGGCTTGTCAGACAAGTTGTCGCACTACTCGTCGCACTACTCGTCGCACTGCCGTTGCACTGCCCGTCTCAATGCAAGCGTGCTCCTCTTCTCTCGTCGCAATGCGATAAGAGGGCCTGCAGCGCCCGATGTCGGGATTGGAGCCCCGCAACGCGATTGGAGCACAACCAATCGCGCAGAAGTCGGGATTGGAGCAAACACAAGGGCCCCTGCTGCCGGCTACTCAGTCACAGCGGCGCATTCTACCAGGCTGCGCTCGAACCGACTGAACAGTTACTGGCTAGAAAGACCAGTTACGGAATAGCAGAATGTCGCATTGCCTCCTATTCCAAATGCTTTCAGCTCTCGCGCTCTTAGATAAGTAGGTTCTAGACCAGTAGTCTAGGAGTAGAACAGAAGGGCAGCTACAGATACTACAGTCTAGTGGGTGAAAGGGGTGCACAGTGGTTCAGAGCGGTGCGCGCGATTTCGCATTTTCAGCACAGCAAGCCGGAGTGGCAGGGGACAGTGGCGGAGGAAACGGGCCAAGATCGAGGGAGATCCCAGAACTGGGAATACTGGTTACAAGTTTCTTGTAAATAGGTTCTAGGGAGGGGCGTAGAACTAGATACAAGCAACTTTGTAAAAATGAATGCTAATGAGGTGCCTCACTGCATGAGACTTAAACAATTGTCACATCCTTGCACACCCCTCCATAGCCGAAAAAAAGAAGAGAAATACTACACAATCTGTCCATCCCTTCTATTTTCTCCGTCCCTCTATCCTCTGCTCTCTAATACGGTTTTCCCCAATCTCTTCCCCTTCCATATTCTCCGTTCTCTACCCCTACTGTGACTCGTCCACATGCCCTACAGCACGGCCCTCCCTCCCCTCCACCACCCTCACAGCCTCAATGGCCGGATCAACCGTCAACATTAAAGCACCGACCCCTTGACCACCCCCTTTCCCCTCGCCCATCCCCGTTGCCCATTTCCTGTGTATCTTTCACCGGCAGCGGCGCCCCACCCCCTGCCTGCCCTTCCCCGGGCGCCATGAACCAGGGCACCTCCAGCCCCTTGTAGTCACGCCGCAGCGCCAGAAACTCCGACCCCGATCGACCTCCACTACCGCTGGCGTGGCGAACCCAGATTGGCTGGACGCCTGAGCCATGCCTGTAATGACTCTGCTGATGCTACAGCTGCTGTCGCTGCGGCTGCTTTTTCTGCTGCTGTTGATGGCGCTGGTTTGTGAGGGGTGTGCGACACCAGAGAAACCCTCACAAAGCATAATCAACGAGCATTATCTTCACCATCTCTTCCCCCCCCCACCCGTACCCACATTCCTTTCAGAACCACCTTTCCCTGACCCTGCCTCTCCCTCCCTAACCACTTCCTCTCCCCCTCCCTCCTCAACCAACATAGAATACTTCCCCATCCAATCCCCCCCCTCTTCAAGTGCCATCGGCGCCTCGAACGGCATCACAATCAACGTGTAAAATTCTGGGCTATCCTTGGCATTCGCAACGAGGAAGTAGCGGCGGAATGGCAGCCGGGAGTGGTCCACATAACGAAAGAGAGGGGATATAAGGGGGGGGATCATAGGCAGGCAAGGACGAATGATCTTGGCTGGTAGTGGTAATGGTGGTGGTAGTGGTGGTGCTGCTGCTGCCGCTAGTCCTGGTACCATCAGTAATACCAGTCATGATACCAGTAATGCAATCTGGCAGTGATACCTGTAATGCAATCTGGCAGCCTTTGAGCTGTTTCTTGAGTCGTCCTGGCCGCAACAGTAGCAGCAACATCAATAGTGGAGAGGTTGTTGGGGTGTGGTCTAAGAATGGCCGTCTGGTTGTACTCCAACGTGAGGGTGATGAGAGAGGGAGAGTCATTGCTGCTACTCACCCACACCACAATTACTGCTCTGCCGCTTCCTTCCCCCCCTCCTCGTTGCTGCTTCTGGTGGTTTCTGCAGCCATGCTACAGTTGGGCGGCAACACCCACCGCGATGCCCAAACACGATTCAAGGGGTGGCACACTGGGCAACAGTGCATTGGGCGACTGATGCTGATCCGGCACCATTGCCTTCAGCAGCGCAATAGCTGAAGGAGGGAGCTCCGCTGCGCAAATTGATTTGCTCCCACAACATGAGCTAGCATTTGTTTCCGCAACACCACCTCTATTACGGCATTCACCACTCACACCCGCGGCATGTGTTTGCGCCACCACGCTTTCCTCCTTCCTCCGGCTCCACCTCTCCCACCCTTACCGCCGCCACCTCATACGCACCTCCTCCCCCCCCCCCCCCCCCACCTTTCCGCTGTCACTCCCCTATCCGCATGCGTATCTGTAGTGCACGATGCAGTTATTTCTGTCATGTCACGATGACACCTCATCCACGTAGCAATTGCTGCACGTGGCGGCTGCCGCATCAGCCAAAACATAGAAATACGCCAGATCTCAATGTCACGGGTCCACGTTCGCCATATGTTCTGCCAAATCTTGTGCCGCGCGAACAGCAGGATGCTGAGACACCTGATGCGGTTTTGATCTTACTATACCTACTATCCCTGGCTACTGTTTTCTTGACCCTCTGTAAAACCCAGCAACCTGGACCCTTGTTGATTTATCTTGCCTTGAGAGGTCTGACCATGATGTGCCTCGTGGGCAATTTCAAGGGGAGTCTCTGTTTGATTCTTGCTATAACTATCCGAGCGCAAGGTTTCATCCAACTTTTTAAATCACCTTGGGCATCAATCATGATATTTGAGTCCAAGAAGGATCTGGGTATAAGGATGTGCATAGAATTGTTAAATTATATACAGTGACGGAAAAAACTGTCCATATGTTGACCCTTTGAGAGGTTAAAAAGCGTGTGTATTTATTATACAGAGTTTTAAAAACAGCGGGATTTAATATAGTAGTGTAGTGCCTCCTGAGCAAGAGGAGCACATGTCATGCAGCTTGAAAGGGCATGTTTATAATGCCAAACCAACAACCACATTCACCAAGTCCTATTCGGACACTTTTGGCCAGATTTGAAGAAAGTGTTCAACATTTCAAAATCAGTACCTAGTCCACCTCCCCTTAGCCCTAACCACTGCCTTCACCCTCCTAGGCATGCTGTTGATGAGGCCCCTGCACACATCCGCCCCAATCCCATCCCATGTCTCTTGCACCCGCTCCCAAGTCTGGAGCATCCCCATAGGGGGGTGCTCATACTTGGCGAGCTCCCTTTTGAGGTGTGCCCACAGGTGGTGCTCTATGGGATTGAGATCAGGGGAGGAGGAGGGCCACTTGAGGACCGCATACGGCTGCTCAGCTAGCCATGCTTGCACAAGGCGGCTCTTGTGCTTGGGGTCGTTGTCATGCTGAAAAATGACATCCGAGGGGGTTAGACTATAGAAGTCGATAGTTTGAGCAAGCTCATCATGCAATATACTCCTGTACAGCTCCCCATCCATGCGGCCGTCAATCTTGCACATATACCCCGGGCCATCATAAGTCATGCACCCCCATACCATCAATGACCCGCCCCCATGCTTGACGGTTTGTTGAATCTGATGACCTTGCAGGGCCGCCCCGTCGCGAATCCATGCGTACTTGCGGCCATCACTGGACAAGCGGTTGATTTTGGTCTCGTCGGACCAGATCACCCGCTTCCAGTCTTCAATGGTCCAGTCAACGTGCGCCTTGGCGAAGTCGAGGCGGTCTTTGATGTTTCGGGCAGATAGTCGCAGCTTCTTCGGTTTCTGCACGGCTACTAAACCGGAGTTCTTCAGGGCGTTGCGCACGGTTCTAGGGCATATCTTGATGCCGCGCTCTGATTCTAGAAGTCTTGCGGCTTCTATGCTACTCTTCGCATGGCCAGAAGTGACGGCTCGCACCAGTGAGCACCTATCACGAACCGGGAGTACGCACGGTCGGCCGTTCCTAGGAACAATCGGCCTGACCGCTAGGCTGCTCGTGCGCTGGGAGGGTTCGCGTGCGTATTTCTGTACCGTGCTTTTCCCTATTCCTAATGCTTTAGCGATTTGACGAAGACTCTGGCCCTGTCGAAGCAGTGTCGCGATCCTATCTTTCTGGCTCGAAAGAAGCGGTCGCATCGTCGCTAGGGGCTTGGCGTAGTTGCCGCTGTACTATCGAGCAAAAAAAGGAAGCGTTGGTTGCGAGGATGCGTAATGCATGCAGGAAATAAATCTGGCCTCGATGTTGGCCTAAAGTGTCCGCATCGAGTAACGAGCGCTTATTATTGTACTCTTTACAATAAACTCGATAAAAGTTACAACACCCAAGTGCATTGAGAAACTCAGGTCAAGAGGCACAGTATGTATTCTGTTGTGGCTGGGTTTTGACAATATATAATGCCAGAATCACAAAGTTTATGTACTGCAGTGGATTTATAAGCCCATTTATTTCCGTCACTGTATATGTTATATAATTGTAGGCTTGGTAGGTGCTACTGAAACTTACTGTGGAGGGTACAACACCCCTCCTTGTATCCCTCTCTCTTCTATTCTCCTCCTCTTTTCTCTCGTCAACTTTCTCCTTCCTAAACCTCACGCCATTCCATGGCTTCCCTCCTACCTAGCGTAGTTTGACATGGTTTCAGAGCAGGACCCTTTCGCACAGGCCTTCTCCTCACGCTTCTACAGCGTACTCCCCCCCCGTCACGCCGCGTTGGCCCCATCATGCCGCCTTGGCCCCGTCACTCCGCGCTGGCCCCGTCGCGCCGCGCCGGCCTTGTCACTCCGCACCAGCCCCGTCCCTCCGCGCCAGCCCCGTCGCGCCGCGCCGACCTTGTCACTCCGCACCAGCCCCGTCCCTCCGCGCCGGCCCCGTCACGCCACGCTGGCCCCGTCACCCCGCGCTGGCCCCGTCACTCCGCGCTGGCCCCGTCACGCCGCGCCGGCCCCGTCACGCCGCGCTGGCCCCGTCACGCCGTGCCGGCCCCGTCCCTCCGCGCCGGCCCCGTCACTCCGCGCTGGCCCCGTCACATCGCCGTGCCTCAGTGCCTCAGTGCCGCCGTGTCGCTGTCCCGCCATGCCGCCGTGCCACGGTGCCGCCATGCCGCCGCGCCGCTGGGTCGCCGTGCCGTCGGGCTGCCGTGGCGGCTTCGCCACGCCAGCGCACGGACAGCTGCGGCCTGCGCCCTGTCCTAGGCGCCAGTCGTAATGCCCTCACGCCAGTAAGCGTCGCGCCAGCCATGGTGCCTCGCTGAAGATCCCCCCCCTCCCCTCCCCCCCCCCCCCCCCCCCCCTTCCCCCTCGCCAAGGAGATTGGCCATGCCACCGAGAGGGCGGGGGCCGCTGCAGCCGCCTCTGACGTTGAAGCCGCCGCCACCGCCGCTGTTGCCGCTGGCCAGTTGCCGCCACACACCGCCACCGTTGCTCTCGTCACTGCTGTGCCGGCCGCCATTGCCATCTCCCAAGCCGTGGGTGTTGACCGATTCCGTAGTCATCACGGCTGCTGCTGGAAATGGGGGTGCTAGGTTAGGGGGTGTGGGTGCGTGTGGGTTCTTCAACTACCAAGCCTAGGGGGTGTGTTAAATTCTATATATGTTATTTAATTGTAGGCTTGGTAGGTGCTACTGAAACTTACTGTAGAGGGTACAACACCCCTCGTATCCCTCTCTCTTCTATTCTCCTATTTTCTCTCGTCAACTTTCTCCTTCCTAAACCTCACGCCATTCCATGGCTTCCCTCCTACCTAGCTTAGTTTAACAGGAATATTGATCCTTGAACGCCACGACAATCAAGACTAGGTTTCCAGTGCCAAGTGTCGAGGATTTTCTAGATGCAATGCATGGCGCTAGAGTCTTCTCTAAAATCAAACTTTGCTTAGGTTATCAACATATTTGAGTAGTTCTAGAGGATCGACATAAGACCCGTACGAAGCAGGAGTAAAAAGAGCTCATGGTTTTGCCATTTGGATCAACCAACACCATAGTGACATTCCAGGTGCTCATGAATTGTATGCTAATGTGTTTCCTCAAATTGCTTGTTGTAGTATTTTCATACGATAGCTAAGTCTATTCCCGGATGCCATAGAAGCACGTAGAGCACTTGATGAAGATCGTTGAGGTCTTGCAAAAGGAATCGTTGTACGCTAAGCAGTTAAAGTGCGAAACCTTCCTTCTAGAGGTCGAGTTTCTATGCCATGTCGTATCCGCCAGTGGCGTTAGAACCGACCCGAAGGCTCCGACCTCGTTAAGAGAATTGCGGGGTTTTCTTGGGTTTACGAATTACTACAACTGATTTTTTCAGGGATACGCATCCATTGCTAGTTCAGTCACCAATCTACTTCGCAAGGGCGTAAGGTCTTAGTGCGGTCGAGCACAGAAGCACGCATTCGAGTAGATGAAGCAGTATCTTACATCTTCACAGACTCTCTCATACCCCAATCCATCTTGCCCATATGACATAGTGATCGATGCATCAGATTAGGCCATTTGAGTAGTATTTCTCCTAGACAAGGGCCATGGGTTGCAGCCCATAGCATACAAGTTACCTTAGTTGGGGTGAGTAGAGCTGAATTATCCGTCAAAGAAGCATTAACAATTATCCACTTGTGCAAGGTACAGTATGAATGTGCTACGTGGAGGTTGTAGATAGTGTTATATGCACGGACCATTGCTCACTAAGGTTCCTCAATTCCCAGCTGCAGCTCAGTCGCCCCTGGGCCAGGTGGATGGAGTTCATGGAGGGCAGACGTAGAGGAGTACATTCTCGTGTAACATGTGTCCATGCACTAAGTCCTCCAACCTGCATGAGCGTAAACCTGGACTTCTTTAATTGATTCTACAATCCGATTGTAAGTGGCAGGAAGTTACGATGGGCTTCACCGTGGCCTTGCCGCGGATAGTTAGGAGACACGTCATCATCTTCAGTTTTTTTTTGTAGTGTATTTCATCCCCACGTGCCGCAAGGTTACAACAAAGGAATTCGCGACACTGTTCGCAGATAACGTTATCCGACTACACAAAGTTCCGAGTTCCATCATCTCAGACCGTGATCCTTGTTTCACTTCTAAGTTTTAGAACTAGACATTTCCCCTCTTTGGGACTTGCTAAGCTATGTCATCAGCTTATCACCCAGAGCCAGATGGGCAAATGGAGCGTGTCAACCAGACGAGCAAATCCTTTGCAGCACTACTATACTGCAACATCTTGGGATAAGGAGCTAAGCACGGCTGAGTTTGCTTACAACAATACACAACATTAATCCATATGCATGTCTGCATTCCTTGCTCCTGTTTGGTCAGCACCCCAATGTCCCCACTTGTGTTGACATCAGATCCACAGTTCCACACACTAACAACTTCCATAAGCATTTCACTTCCATTTTTTACCGCATGAGGAACCACTTGGAGCTCACAAATGCACACAGGATATGCACCACCCACCCAAGTCGTCAAGATGTGACCTTTCTCTCTCTCTCTCTCTCTCTCTCTCTCTCTCTCTCTCTCTCTCTCTCTCTCTCTCTCTCTCTCTCTCTCTCTCTCTCTCTCTCTCTCTCTCTCTCTCTCTCTCTCTCTCTCTCTCTTCCAGAGATCGAGTGCTTCTTGATAGCCGCAACCTCCATCTTCCACATGACTGCATCGCCCTCGTTTTATTGGTTCATTTGTCAATGAGGGTGTCATGAGTCCAGTTGCACGCCGCCTTCGCCTTCCTGTGCTCTTTCGCATGCATCCCACATTTCATGTGTCACTCCTTTGTCCTTATGCCGATCCCAACCCCACCTTCTCGGGCTGTAATTGCACCCCCATGTTGGTAGTCGTTAATACCGACGAGCCTGATGGGCCAGATCCAGTGCATCCTGAGTCACTATCACCATTTCCAAAGGGGTGCCACTTTCATCATTTGGCATGCTTACCTTGCTGCAAAAACAGGTGGGTTCCTTCATATTTGCTATCTTTAGACAACAAGTGCCTGCATGTGTATCTTCATGCCGAATGTTGGGTGCACGGGTGTTTTCAAGTGGGCGGGGATGTAGGCTCGCGTGCAGGCGGTCACAATAGGGCCCTGCTGGCGAGGGTCCAGTTGCCCATCCAGGCAGTGAGAGGTATCGTCTTCGGGGCCGTCGGCCCCGGCAGAGCCCATCGGTGGCTGATTTTCGGATGAGTGAGACAGCGATGACATTGACCCAATGCACGAGGGGGGGGGTGGGGGGGAGGGGAGGTTTAGAAGCCCAACAAAAAACACGCATGTATGGTTGCCGCAATCCAGTAAAGCGATCCAATATGTAGTCCGTAGGATCTTCAGGATTGAAATGCAGTAGTGCATTTTGTGGAAGCGGTTGATTGGTCGATGAACTCTGTTACAGTGAATGCAACTAAGCAATGTTGATTCTACAAGGGAATGCGAAGTGTTACATGATGGAATGAGGTTTGCTCAATGTTGCACTATCCATGACTACAAGGTGCTTTTATACTTCCATAGTACATCAGGTAACCAGGTTTATCATATTTAAAAAGAATAGACCCTTCTAGAAATAGAATCACCCTACGTATAGCCACGCAATGCTATTGGCTTTAAGGGATTATGCTAGATATAGCGCGCTAGTACATCTCGAGCTTGGTTGGTGATATAATTATAATAACGGGATAAACCAAAGGATAATGGAAAATGAGATGAGACCAAATGAGATGAGATAACGACCAAATGAATCAGGATAAAAAGAGGAATAAAATAGAATGGAAATATGGAAAGGGGAAATTGGTGTTGCAGGGTCGTACTCTCACACTTCCCCCCCTCAAAGCTGGGTGGTAGAAGTAACACCCTTTTTGACAAGGTAGTTGCAGAAAGGACGACGGGCGTTACCCATGTCGAATTCGGAGATGCAGCCTCAGAAGGATCATAACCCTTCTAGCAAAGAAGAAGCTCCATGGTGTCATGCGGACGATGACGGTGAGCAAGCACGTAGTTGACATTCGGTGGTTGGCATTTGGTGTAGAGTGTTTGTGGTCCCGATAGGGTTTAAGAAGCTGGTCTGGAAGGCGTTATGGATCTTCCAAGTGGCTGGTAGGCAGAAGCGGAAGGTGAATGAAGTGACCTTTGCTTCAACGAGAATACTGTAGGTCCGCAAAAGCAAGGTCGAAGCTTAAATGGAAGATGGCTGATGTCGAGATTACGGTGCGGATAAGTGTAGTGATGAGCGGCCAAGTGCTTCTGCTGTTGCTGGATGTCCAAGAGGCGTTTGTGTGTCTGATCTTCGAGCTGGTGGACAATGGTGATGGAATGGAATTGTCGGTTGCTATGGTATGAGCGGGTTGCGTCTGTAGCAAAGGAAGAATGGTAATCGTTATGTTGCATTGTTGATGTAGACGCACTCCCATATCAGTTGTGGAGAAGCTGTTCAACAATCCGATTGAGCCACGCTGTATGTCCGTCAGTCTATACAGTGACAGAAACAATTGTCCGGATGTTCAGTCTTATTTTGCATTTTGATAAGTGCAGCGGCGTAAACATTAAGCCTTAATTTATGGTGTGCATACACGTTGAGAAGATCAGTTAGGGCACTCTTTCAAGTCGCCAAACACCAGAGTAGTATAATACATGGTCCTTAAACACCTAAGCATATCATAAGAGCACATCCTGACAATTTGTACCGAGGACAGGCAGCAAACTAGAATCATAAAAAAATAGTACCTAGTCCAGCGTCCCTTTGCACGAATCACAGCCTTGATCCTCCTCGGTATACTGTCGATGAGGTTTGAGCACACTTCCGCCGGTATCTTGTCCCATTCCTCCTGCACCCTCTCCCACAGCTCCAGCATTCCACTAGGTGTTTTTTCGTACGTACCCAACTCCCTTTTCAAGTGTGCCCACAGGTGCTCTATTGGGATAAGGTCCGGAGAGGACGAGGGCCATTCCAGCACCGCGTACTCCTGCTCCCCAAGCCAGTCTTGCACCAGACGGGACTTGTGCTTGGGAACATTGTCGTGCTGGAAAATGGCCTCTTAGGGGGGGAGCTTGAAAAAGTCGATGGTGCTGCGATACAGCGGCCCATCCATCCTGCCATTTATCTTGCACATGAACCCCGCCCCCTCATACGTCATGCAACCCCACACCATCACAGAACCGCCCCCATGCTGAACTATCTGTTGGAGTTGATGGCTCTAGAGGCTGGTGCCCTCGCGAACCCAGGCGTACGCACGTTCGTTGGAGCAGAAACGGTATATCTTAGTCTCATCAGACCAAATCACCCGCTTCTAGTTCTCCACCGTCCAGTCGGCATGCGACATCGCGAAATCGAGCCGATCACGTATGGTTTTTGTAGAGAGCCTGGGTTTCTTGGGCTGCTGCACAGCAATCAAGCCCTCTGATCGAAACGAGTTCCTGACTGTCTTTGAGTCTACAGCCAGAGCGTGCTTCTCCTCTAACATCTTTGCAGCGTCTACACTGCTTTTCGCCTCCCCGCTTGTAATTGCTCAAACTATTCCACGCTGGAGTCGGGTTGTGATTAAGCGGGGGCGGCCGGCCGTGAGCATCGTGGGTCACACCTCATTGCGACTAGTCTTGGCAATCGCCTTCAGACCGTAATCGTGCACGGTGCTCTTGCCTATGCCCAGAGTTTTGGCAATTTTCCTAGTCGAATGCTGTGAGAGTACGACCCAGTTCCATTCCTTTCTCCTTTCCATCTTCCCTTTCCATTTCATTCCTCTTTTTATCCTGATTCATTTGGTCTTTACCCCATTCCCTTTGGATTCCTATTCCTCCTTTTCCATAAACCTTTGGTTTATCATGTTATTATCATTATATCACCGACCAGGCTCGGGATGTACTGGCACGCTATATCTTGCGTAATCCTGCTGTAATCCCTTAAAGCCAATAGCCTCGCGTGGCTATATGCAGGGTGATACTATTTTTTAGAAGGGTCTATTTCTTTGGGATAAGATAGACCTGGTTACCTGATATACTTTGGGAGTATAAAAGCGCCTTGTATCAATCGATAGTGCAACATTTCCTCGACACATTCGATCCTGTGACACCTGGCAATCAGAGCTTTTCTCACTCAGCCGTGCTCAGCTAAGCAGCAGCAGCGGGACTCCTGCCTCGAAAAACCGTCGCTGGCGACCAATTCGATGCCGATTCTGGTAAGCACCATCTCCGCGTTTTTTCGAATTACCCCCTCCGCGCGTGTTTTGAACAGGATGGCGAACTTCGACTACGCCGAAGTTACCCACTTCGCAAGCATCGCCGCCCTACAGGAGGAGATGCGAGCCGACAGCGAAGCTTGGCGACAAGAGTTCGAGCAAGTAACTCGACTTGCCGGCGCGCAACACGAAACGACAATGGTGACGACGCAGCAGACGCAGCAGTTTCCCGAGGCTCCAAAGCCGCGCCCACCTGATTCGTTCGATCCGAGCGATCGAAACTCCGACGTCCAGAGATGGATTGCCGGCATGGAGATCTACTTCGCAGCCGTCGGATGGAGCTCGCTAGTCTGGGACGGTCAGCGCTAACGATTTGCGGCAACACTGATGCGAGGAGCGGTGCTTGATTGGATCGGCGGTAACAGCACCTTCATCCACGGCGAAGCCATGTGGCAGCAGTTCCGCACCGACCTATTGAAACGTTTCGAGCCGATAAATTTGGGTTTCCTTGCCCGCGGAAAAATTCATCGCCATCGACAGATTGGGAGGGTAGCACAGTACACGCAGCAGATGGAAGAATTTTATAACCGCATTCCTGACCTGACCGAAGGGGAAAAAGTTCTGTCATATCTCGCCGGGCTGAAGACCGAAGTCAAACGACAAGTAGCAGCGACAAACTACGTGAGCTACAGTGACGTGGTATCGGTAGCGGAGCGCTTCGACATGGTCAACGCTGGGACACGACGGGCGCACGTCGGCAGTAAAGCGACAGGGCGACTGCTTAGCTCACCCCACGTTCGCCGACCCGATGGAAGTCGACAAGTTCGAAGGACGGCCACGTCCGAAAAACACCAACTTCACGTGTGATTTTTGCAGGGTGCCGGGCCATCGAATCTTTGACTGCAACAAAATAAAGTCCGCACGCACTGAGTATCGGGCACGCAACAGTGGCGGAAATCCTTCGGCCAATCAGAAGCAAAAAAACGGGACTCACCAGTAATTGCGGATCTAGCTGGCGAAAAAGAAAAGATCCGAAAGCAGCCGCGGACTTCCGGAAAAATCAACGTCGACGCAGCTGATTCGACGTGAACAGGAGAAAATGATGGGGAAAAATCTCCACCCCACGACCAGTCTTTGCCAGAGGAAATCGCC